ACATCAATATCCAAAGCAAACACTCGAAACAAAAAAATGTCCAAAATAATTTTTTTTTTAAATTCTTCACGGGGCAGGGCATCTCCGCCCCGCCAACCCGTTCGGGACTGATTTTTTGCCCCCATTCAGGGCGGGAAGAGAAAAATTGCCATCTCTACAAGCATTGTTGAATATAATAAGGCGCTCCTATGACCTATCTACTAACATGAAGCGCGTTTGAGGGACTCAACCTAAGGACTTGAATGTAATTCATGTTTTTTATCTAACGAATAAAGAAATCGCCATTGAACAAGAGCGAGTAAAGTTTGATTTTGAGTTTTCATCGAACCGATGGATCTGCATGCTTCGAGACGGGGAGATGAAGTGTAGCAGCGTAGCTGTTTTGAATATAGAGGGCTCATTACATTTGGTCTTTATTTTTCAATTTAACATAAAAAATTATTATAATTAATTATTGATTTAGATTCTTATAAAGTAATTGAAAAAGTCACTTGAAAACATAATTAAGGGGGTGTCCTCAACTTAAAATTTAATGGATTTCTTAATATTTATAAATTCTCATGGAATTTAATAGAATTTAACGGATTTCATGGAATTCAATAAGATTTGATTGAATTTCCATTTTGTAGATTTCAATAGATTTTCTTGGATTTTATAGATTCTCATGGATTTGTAAACTTCTCTGTAATACTTGTATTTTGTATCTACTCAATTGCCCAAAGCAAATCGTTAACTGAACTCCGTAAAAAAAATATTAATAAAATAATTAAAATTAAAATTCCACCATATTATTTCAAGTTTATTTTTCTCTGTGAACCAAATTATGTTAGGATTCAATTTTCATTACTCTTCGTTCACATCGTTCACAACATCTACCCACATATTTGAAGCTATATTAAATTAACAACATTGAAATCTATAAAATCAATTGAAACAAATTTTATATTGTTGGTTAAGAATCCTTTTTTTTTTTCCCTTATTGAAACAAATCTTATATTATTATGCACAAATCTTGTATTGTTTGTTAAACGTTTGAATATTATAACATAACAAAATATATATCTAGCTTCAATAAAAAGTCACACCCAATATTCAACAAATAGTCAACAGAGCAAATGAGAGGGAGAAGAGAAAAGGTCTGTAGTAAGAAAAAAAAAATCTGGAGTATCTTCAATAAGAAAAAAAAATTCAGAATTAATAGTGTAGGAAATTAATGGCCATAGAAAGAGAGAGAGGAGAGTCGTGAAATTTTTGGTGCTGGGATAGAATTGTTACAGATTTTTTGGTGCTAATATTTTTGGCTTGAAATCTTATGCAATATATCAAAATCTATTTAATTAATGAAATTCTTTTAAATCTAGTTACTGAGGACCCCTAAATTTCTAAAGTACCTATTAAAATTTAAGTAGTTGAGGACACCTACATTTTAATGAATTATATTTTAATCTAAAGAGATTTAAAATTTACTGAAATAAGACTGAGCGAGCATGGGCCATGGCTGCGAAAAAAGCCACCTTCCTACTAATTTACAGTAAGGCAGCGACTTTGGCACCTTCCTCCACCGCCTTCTTCTGTTTACCCCAGCTTTCCATATATACACACACATACGTACGTATACTGTATTACATCTTCAATGGCGCAATTCCACTTGCACGTTCTCCTTCTAACGCTCTCAGGTGTTCTTCTATCAGGTAAAATTTATTCCCATTTTAAGAGATGTGTGAATAAAATTAATCAGTTCCCCAAGTTTTAATCTCAATGATGATTTTGTTACAGTAGTATATTCAGCGGGAACATTTACAATTGTAAACAAGTGTGAGTTCACAGTTTGGCCAGGCCTTTCTGACGTCCGTGGGACATTGCCTACCACAGGTTTTGCTCTGCTAGTGGGGCAGACGATGACAATTGACGCGCCTTCTTCATGGCGCGGCCGATTATGGGGTAGGACTCTATGCAGTAAGAACTCCACTGGAAACTTCTCCTGCGTTACAGGTGATTGTGGCTCTGGAAAAATAGAATGCGCCGGTGGTCTCGCCGCTCAACCTGCAACTCTTGCGGAGTTCGCGCTCAACAGTGTAAACGGATTGGACTTCTATGACGTCAGCGTGGTCGACGGTTACAACGTTCCGATGCTGGTGGTCCCAGTCCCACAGGGCGGCTCCGGCGCTAATTGTACTGCTACTGGATGCGTTGTGGATTTGAACGGCGCGTGTCCGTCAGAGCTCCTAATGACAAGCAGCGACGGAGACCCCGTCGCTTGCAAAAGCGCTTGCCAGGTCATCGGACTAGAGCAATTCTGTTGCATAGGCGCACACAACACACGTGACAAATGCAAACCCTCGTTATACGCGCAAGTTTTCAAGAGAGAGTGTCCACGCGCATACAGTTACGCGTTGGATGACAAGACAAGCACGTTCACATGTTCCGTGGCCGACTACGTCGTTACGTTCTGTCCAGCACGAAACGCGATGTAAATTTACGAACATCCCCATAATTGCTCACGTTTAGGCAGATTTTACCAAGGGTGCTTTTGTCCATTAGTAACCATTCATAAAATCCTGTCAAATTCAACATTAGGCTGGCAATTCCCATGGGAGCCGTGCTTCTTGTCCTGGCTCGGGCGCCAACTGTTTCTTGTCTCGGTCATTGAGCCGGTACATGAAGAGTTTTCCTTCCCATGTTAGCAACGGGAGAAAAAAAACTAAAAATCTACATCTCATTCACATTTTTTCTTTTTTCTTTATTTTAATCACACATTTTTCAAATAAAATAATATTACACAAAAATCTAAAATTTTTCATTATGTTTTCACTACATATTTTCGTATCAATCACTGTTCCAAAAATTCTATTATCTTCAAGATGAGATTCAAACAAGGTAAGAATGATGTGAGGGGATGTACCATGGTGTACAAATGATTTAATATAATTTTCTTTTTCATATTTAATTTAAGAAAGCAATAGTATACCGTCTTGAGTATAACGTGGAGGTGGCATTATTAGGTATGAGGCATACTCCAACGCCACAACCGTCCCTGCACCTGTGCCTGCACCTAATAATAACAAACAAGGTAACGTCCTAATGCAAAACATCTCTTTTCCGTAAATTGTCCCACATTATTAGGGTTCGTAACCTAGCACTACATATGTCTGTATATCTCCATCAATTTTTCAGAAGTTTAAGTTCAACATAGGCTGGAAAACTCGTGCTAAGGCTGGTTTTATTTTCTGAAGATAACTATACATAGAAGCAAGTTTTGAAATCCCAATTTACCTTTTTGTTCTTAATACAGGAAACAGGGGAATCTCAAGACAAGTTATTATAGCTGTCGTTGTTCCAATTGTTGTTGTTTCCTTAGTGGTCTTGCTGGTGAGCTTACGTTTCTTGACTGGGAGAACGATGAAGCAGAAACAATATGGGGAGAGAAATGGTAAGCCACGAATTTGTTGAGTTTTAAACCCCAAATAAAATTATTTTATGATCAAGACTTGCACTAATTGGATGACATAAAGACACCAAGATACCATTTACTCAAGTACCTTGGCTTATCACAAAATTCACTCACGCAACACCTTGTAGATATGTTCTCTCCAATAATTCACTCCACTAACTCCTCAGACTCGCTTTCTCAATTCTCTGCACTCTTTCTCTGCTTCGCTCTTAAACTTTTCTCTTCTTCACACACACACACTTACACTAAGCTATTGTCGCGGGAGGACAGAGTATACGTACTGATTACACCGGGATTCAATGGATCTTGATCTTATCGAGTTAGTTCTGCCCCCGGCGGGGGTGATAGGGTAATGGCATATAAGCTATTCATATCCTAATAAAGGTCTTAATCTCCAAATACCGCGTTCTTCCTGTATCATTATCACAATTGCTTCCGCAGCTGCTGGAAGCCAAGT